ACACTGCATCCACACACACCCACACAGCACCTTAACACACACACTACAACCATCACACATACAGCACCCTCACACACACAGCACCCTCACTCACACTGCACCCTCAGCCACTCACACACACAGCACCCTCACACACACACTGCACCCCTTTCACACAAACACAGCACCCCTCACACATCATCCCTCACACAAAGTGCATCCCTCTCACAAACACTGCACCCCTCACAGCAATGCACACTGCAGTTCTCTACGGGGATCACCAGGACCAATAAGAAAGACAATACTACAGTACATGAACAGGGCTCATGCAAGATGCATTTTGCCTCCCCCCTTTCTTATCCCCATTACCACTATTCACCCTTCCAGTTTTCTTACCCCAAATTAGTAATTTTGTTCCCATTTCTATGCCTTCTTATATTGTGGCTGAGCTGCTAGTGCTCAATGCTTCTTTTTTTCCCCTTCTGTTCAATTCAGACATGCTGTTAAAAGATGGAGGGGGAGGTGAGGTGGGGGGGGGGGTGTGAGTAACTTGAAATACCCACTCTGTGGCCAGGTTGTTTGGGTGCTGAGATTGTTCAGGAAAAGAAACAGGTACACAATACTATACATATACAGACACGCACCAGTACACAGAGTGATAATCATACACAGACACACAAATACAAGCTCTCACACAGATCTGACTCTCACGTAGATATCATGAGCATGGTGCCCAGCACGCAAGATGTTTGTGTGAGAGTCGCATAATCATAATGTCCCCACCTGCAGGGCAGACAAACAAGGCAGCATTTACTTTTAATGTGCCTGTAGAGCAGAATTTGTGAAGCGTCCACTACCCCCTTAAAAAATAAAATAAATAAATTTAGACGCACACATTCTTACATATACGTACACACATTTTCACACAGACATAAAATATGCCCACCATCCATGACCGCTAGGTAGGTAATAGAAAAGGGGCTGAATATTTACATTCTATCACCAAGCAGAAATAAATAATCTTAGGTAGGCAGAATAGAATGGACAGAAAATAAATCTGTGGACAGTGGTGCATAATGATGGTGAAACCAGGGGAAATAGGTGGGAGAACAGATAAAATAAACAACAAAGGTAGAGATGGACATACGGACCGGGCATGATCCAAGCTGCCTTACACTTGCGCTGGTCCGAGACATGAAGTGTGCAGAGATTGTTACAACCCATGTGTCCAGTTATTCCCTTTGTATTTATTAATTTATATAAGATTTAATGTCTAATAGTGTAAGATGAAAACAGTCATCTTGTAAGAGCAGGGCCTTCCCAACACTGATCAAAGCTTCCCTTTAAAGTACTGGGAATCTCAGCTAATCTGCTTTCAAGATTTCATTATGTTTTGAAATCCCCTTGATATCCTGAATCTATGGAGCAAGCTGTGACACATCTAAGAAAAGCTAAGTAATATCACTTGGAATTTTGTGTTATATTGTTCCAAGGTAAGTAAACACTTTTTGCATTGAATAATCATTACATGGTGCATGGCAACTGCCGAGATGCTTAATATATATTTATTATAAGTGCAACTAGATACTTGGTAAATAATGGTAACTAAAATGTACTGTTGTTCTTCAAACTGCCTAGTTACTTTAAATAGGCAATAGAAGAAATACTAAAATTCCATGATTACCTTCCATCATCAGATTAACCAATTAAGTGCTAGATTACAGCAGACCAGAGCTCCAACACCGCACTAAAATTCTACTAAAATATCTACAGAAAAATACAAGTCTACAAACCTGTAAAGTTTACTAAAATTGCTATTGAAAACAGGGCCGAACTGGGGATACAAAGCAGCCCTGGAAAAAAAATCTATGCCAGCCCCATAAGTCAGTACGCCATATATTGCCACATGTAATATGTAAGGCTATGTCTTGCCACCCCAGATGATTGAGTTATATATATAAACACACACACACACACACATATATATATATATATATATATATATATATATATATATAATGTCTCTCACAAAAGTAAGTACATCTCTCACATTTTTGTAAATATTGTATTATATCTTTTCATGTGACAACACTGAAGAAATGGCACTCTGCTACAATGTAAAGTAGTAAGTGTACAGCCTGTATAACAGTGTAAATTTGCTGTCCCCTCAAAATAACTCAACACACAGCCATTAATGTCTAAACCATTGGCAACAAAAGTAACTACACCCCTAAGGGGAAATGTCCAAATTGGGCCCAATTAGCCATTTTCCCTCCCCGGTGTCATGTGACTCGTTAGTGTTACCAGGTCTCAGGTGTGAATGGGGTGCAGGTGTGATAAATTTGGTGTTATCGCTCTCACACTCTCTCATACTGGTCACTGGAAGTTCAACATGGCACCTCATGGCAAAGAACTCTCTGAGAATCTGAAAAAAAGAATTGTTGCTCTACATAACGATGGCCTAGGCTATAATAAGCTTGCCAGGACCCTGAAAACTGAGCCACAGCACGGTGGGCAAGACCATACAGTGGTTTCACAGGACAGGTTCCACTCAGAACAGGCCTCGCCATGGTCAACCAAAGAAGTTGAATGCATGTGCTCAGCGTCATATCCAGAGGTTGTCTTTGGAAATAGATGCATGAGTGCTGCCAGCATTGCTGTAGAGGTTGAAGGGGTCGGGGGTCAGCCTGTCAGTGCTCAGACCATACGCTGCATACTGCATCAAATTGGTCTGCATGGCTGTCGTACCAGAAGGAAGCCTATTCTAAAGATGATGCACAAGAAAGCCTGCAAACTGTTTGCTGAAGACAAGCAGACTAAGGACATGGATTACTGGAACCATATTCTGTGGTCCGATGAGACCAAGATAAACTTATTTGGTTCAGATGGTGTGTGTCAAGCGTGTGTGGCGACAACCAGGTGAGGAGTACAAAGACAAGTGTGCCTGGGCCTGCATGAGTGCTACCGGCATTGGGGAGCTACAGTTCATTGAGGGAACCATGAATATCAACATGTACTGTGACATACTGTGAGGGCATGATCCCCTCCCTTCAGAGACTGGGCTGCAGGGCAGTGTTCCAACATGATAACGATCCCAAACACACCTCCTTAGACGACCACTGCCTTGCTAAAGAAGCTGAAGGTAAAGGCGATGGACTGACTGTCACGTATTCATCCGCTTATAAAAATGTGGTTAATGGCATTTACTGTCCACACAGGAAAAGTTGTGCCGGGCAGCAACCAAATCCACAGAAGGGTTAATGCTGAGCAGCAATTATGCAAATAGAACCTGTTAACTGCCTTTGGGGGTCAAAGGCCAGTTACAGCCTATCATATCTAGAGGAGTGGTATTTAGGCCCAGTTCTCATCCTGCTCAGTGCCCTGTCGTGGTTTCCCTTGTGGTTATCCGAGAGCGCGTTATTGATTCTGGTTATTCTGGTTATTTGACTTTGGCATTGTTTTTGACTTCCCTGTTTTCTGGCATCCCTGACTCCTGGCTTTTCCTTATCGTTGTGTCTCTTTCTGTCTCCGTTGACCTCGGCTATTCCTGACTATTCTTTGGTACGTTAGTCCGGCCATTACCTATCAGTCTTCTGTGTTACACAATTCTACGTGCTGGATCATCCTGACACTGACCAAGCATGTTTTCAGACCTAAACCCCATTGAGCATCTGTGGAGCATCCTCAAACGGAACGTGGGGGAGTGCAAGGTCTTTAACCCCTTAAGGACACAACTTCTGGAATAAAAGGGAATCATGACTGAATATTTCCGTCATGTGTCCTTAAAGGGTTAACATCCACCAGCTCCGTGATGTCATCATGGAGGAGTGGAAGAGGACTCCAGTGGCAACCTGTGAAGCTTTGGTGAACTCCATGCCCACTCCATGAGGGTTAAGGCAGTGCTGGAAAATAATGGTGGCCACACAAAATATTGACACCTTGGGCCCAAGGGATGTACTTACTTTTGTTGCCAATGGTTTAGACATTAATGGCTGTGTGTTGAATTATTTTGAGGGGACAGCAAATTTACACTGTTATACAGGCTGTACAATTACTACTTTACATTGTAGCATTGTGTCATTTCTTCAGTGTTGTCACATGAAAAGATATAATACAATATTTACAAAAATGTGAGAGATGTACTTACTTTTGTGAGATACTTTATATATGTATATATTTTTTTCTTTCTAAAATAAAATATTGGTCCTTTCAGAGTAAAAGTTTCATTATACTGTAAGCATACTCACATGCAGACACAGACAATCTCACTGACACACAAGCTCATTGATACACCACCTCAGTGTTTACATTGCTTCCTAGTGACACCTCTAGTGACAGTCACTCAGATGGTCACTAGAGGTGCTTCCTGTGTCAGGGCTGCACAGTGTGCAGCACCTGCATTAAGCGCCTCCACGCTCTGCATGGAGGCGCTGAACGTTCCCCTTAGAGATACATTGATTCAATGCATCTCTATGAGGAGATGCTGATTGGTGTAGCGTTTTACAGCCAATCCTATAACAAAACATTGGATTAGCTGAGATCATCAAGCTTGATGATCTCAGCCATAGAAACAGGGCAAGTTGAGGGGACACCAGCATGGCGTGGGGAAAGAAAGATGAGTAAAAACATTATTCCGTTGCCAGTGGAAGGGCTCTGGTAAATTAAACATACACACAGACACACACATACACCATGACAGACAGACAGACAGACACACACACACCATGACACACACATATATATATCAGACACACACACCATGCCACACACATATACCATGACAGATACACACACACACATACCATGACAGACAGACATACACACACCATAACAGACACACACACCATGACAGACACACACACATAGACACACCATGACAGACCCATACACTCACACTGACAGACTGACTCACACATTATTGCTACCTGTGGGGTCCAATGGCGACCGGCCAGGGGATTTTGCAGGCGGGTAGCATGCTGGGTTGTCGTGCAGGGCGGGTGGCTGGCTGCGTGAATAGGGAGCTGTGCTGTCTCTGCTCTGCTACCCAGCGCGCAGCTTAATAAGACCGGTGCCCCAGTCTCATTAAGTAGCGTGCAAGTGCGGGGGAGCAGAGCAGAGACAGCACAGGTCTCCCTCCGGCCGCCAGCAGTCTAATTGCGCCTGAACCAGCTGTCTGCCTATCCCAGTATCCCAGTGGGCCAGTCTGGCCCTGACTGAAAATGTAGATTAAATGTGGATGGAGTTCGATAATGAAACAGGAGTCATTGTATTTAAAGTTGTCCATTAGTTTCATATAAAATGCAGGTAAATCACACTTTACCAGGATTATTCCCTAAAGTGAGAATGGTCAGAATTCTAAAATTTAGGCCAAAATAGGCGAATTAGACAAATTCCGTTTTCAGTTTGGCTATTTTGTCAATTCTGTTTTCTGTTTGGCTATTTTGGCCTTAAATTTGAAATTCACTTTGAAATCTTGGTTTAATGAATAAAGTGTATAGAACAATCATTAATAGCAGTGTATTGACAAGCCTGAGTAAATATCAATATCTACTTAACAAAAAAACACCACCCCCCCAAAAACAAAACCGCCACAAAATAAACCCATAGGTAAGGTCATTGATATTTCAGGCCCTTACTTCTGTTTAAGAAATTTTGTTTACTGGAGACAAATTAAATGATGGAATTTTTCTAATTAATGCAATTTTTGTTATATATTTTTAGTTATGTTAGTATGAGCTCAAAGGGCAGATTTCATCAATATTGCATTGGTGTACGTGTCCCTTTAAGTTCATAAGCCTACGATAGATAGCTAGATAGATAGATAGATAGATAGATAGATATCATACAAGATCCAGCACACTCACTCATTCACAAAATTGTAACTTCAAAACTCGCAAAATTGAATAGGTTTTCTAAACAAAAAATTTACTTAGGCAAACATTATGGGGGTTCCGTTACAGTATATGATCATACTTTGCATAAGCCTGCCACAACACCAATGTACCCTGTTTTGGGAAGGTCCTATTCTAGCAACCAAATGCCTTATTTAACCTTGACCTGCAGAGAGTTCCAGGAGGAAAGATTTCCCAAGTAAGTGGATTAATCTCATAAGAGCAAGAATCAGGCTGTTAGAGTAGGACCTGCCAAGAATGGGGTACCTTTACGTTGTGGCAGTCTTATGCAATGTATGATCATATACTGTATGTATAATGTATGATCATATAACTAAACGTTAGGGGCTTTAAAAAAAAAAAAAATCTGTGAGCTTTGAAGTATTTGTTTAGTGAATGAGTGAGTGCAGTGAATCTTGTGTATGTATATATTTATATATATATATTTGTGTTCGGGGCATTCTCATATGATATAGAATAAGATGGGTTGTAGAGATGTAGCTTTAGGAATAATCGGTTGAGGTGTGCCGAAACCGACGTATGCTGTAGGCCGGTAAAAAGTGGGCTTACATAGAGGAAATATGAACAATGGGTTGCATTAACAACGAAACAGCTGTCCATGAGTGGTTTACTGGCTTTGCATCTTTTCCTAAGTTGTGTTCCAAGCTGTTGTATACAGCAAACACAGATTAAAAGGAATCCATGTTAAAAATGGAATGAGGCAAAAATGTGATTCTTTGTTAAGCTAATTTGCATATGCCCACCCAGAATCCTTTGCGGTAGTAACATCACTGCAGATTTTTGATTTCTGTGGGAAAAGCAAGTCTTATGGCTTGACTGGTGTGCAGATTTTTGTTTAACATTGTATTAACTATACACACACACACACACATATATATATACACAGTATATTACATGGAATGTGGATAGTCCTGCAGCCAACTGTTTATCTGTTTGCCTGGTTGCTCTCTATCCGCTTATCACATAACTCTGCTTGAATTGGCACACTCACAGGACTTTTTAATGATGAAAAAAACATTATTTATTTCAAAAAGAGCAATTACATATTCGATCAATGTTTTGGCCCCTCATGGTCTTTTAGCAAGATCGTACAGAAAAATATATTTATATGCACAAAATATTCCAAGTCGCCTTGCACTCACAGCTCTAAAATATGTATAATTCCCAGTGCCAATTTGTGGCCTCCATCTCTGCAGAAAAAGTAAAAATCAACAGGCATTCTCAGCTTTGTAATTTCTTCTATCTTTATTCCGAATGAAACACCGTTTCAGTTCTTCAATTAACTTTCTTTGGGAAACTCAGTTGGAGTAAAGATTGCCTCCGCAGTGGCACGAGTTAGACAATATGTGTTTAAGATGCCTAAAAATGTGAGCCATCCCACAGAGAAAGCTATTAACCTTTCCTGTTCCTCAAATCTTTTCCAAAGGTTTATCTCATTACCCTAACATAATGAGATTGAAAATTCTCAGAATTTTTGCCAGCTAGATAAATCAATGCAAACATATAAAACAGTCAGCAATGTGACAAACAAGAGTTGTGGAACATACATCTAAAAAAACATGTTCATACATAAAAAGTCATAATACAAGATGTAGCTTTTCAATTGTGTGTTTACTTTTCATCAAAGTTAACATATCAGGTAAAAAAGTCATACTTAAAGTGAATCAGAAATGTTGAGAAAGAAAGAAAAAATTTTTATATAAAAACTCTGCTTTTAAACTCCTGGAACGTGCATTCCACACAGCAACAATTGAATTGACAGAAAATTATTTAAAAAAATTACAATGATTATAATCAGTGGCGTAACTAGAAACCAGCGGGCCCTGGTGCAAAAATTAACCTGGGCCCCCATGTGTCTCATCCCCACCCAGCCCTACAATGTGTCTCATTCTCCCTCCTCCCACCCTCACTCAACCCTCCATGTGTATCATTACCCCTTTTAATGTGTCTCAATTCCTCGCAACCCCTCTGTGGTGGGACCGCTGTCTGTTCGTGAATTGCTATGTGTTATTCCCTGTGTTTTTCCCTGTATTGTATTATATTCCTGTGTTTTACCTGCTCCCCGGAGAGCCAACACGAACGAGTTCAATTCGCCTTCCGAACGGGGACAACCACGAAACCTCGTAAAAAGGTGTCAAAACCACAAACTACAAGGGAATCCTCAGTGCGTGCCGACCCTGGGTGGCGGCCTATTTGTTAGACGAATGCCATCTAGGGGGAGCATTTGTGGATTGCTTCCCCCCTTGTTCGGGAAACCTCCTCACTGCCCTTGGAGTGTTCCCACCAATCAATTAGAATGTTGGCAACTTGCAACATAAGTGTGAAACTGCAAGGGAAGTAATTAATGAGTGCTTTGCCGGGCGGCCGCCATTCATGTAGACGAGCGGCGGCCAGGGGGAGCATTTGTGTTCTGAAAGAAGACACTTCCCTTGCCTGGTTTCACCCAGAAAACCCACGAGTGGAGGCGGTTATTGTTCTTGGGGTCATCTGAGATTGGTGGGGACACTCTTTTGGGGACAATGGCGGTTTGACGGGTTTTCTGTAGCTGGGAGTCACAGAGGCAAGAAACTTTCCTGGGCTGGGACTCCCAGATACAGAGGCTCATGGGATAAAGATCACCTGGTCACCAGAGGTGGGAAACCCTGAGGATGGGTGGTGGGAACTGAGGACGAAGGGACTGGAGTTCCTGTCACCCACACAGACCCCTGGAAGGGTGAGGACCCTGGGAAGGGGCACTGAGTGGCGGGAACAGGGGACAAAGGGATTGAGATTCTGGTTCCGTAATGCGACCCCTGAGAGGGGGACGACCCTGGAAGGGGACATTGTCGTTGTGTGTGATCCACCCCTTCATTGGGGAAAGTTTAATGCCGAGTGTGGCCAAAAAAGTTGTGTTCTACCCCCAGGACCATGTGTCATCCGGTTACTGGGTGGGAAATGAGTCTCTCTGTGTTATAGCTGATTCCCTTCCAGGGACAAGATGTGGCTGAGCAAGGACAACGGGTCGAGTTGTCGGCATGCCTGCTACACCCTCCATATGTCTCTTTCCCCCAGTCCCTTTTATGTGTCTCAATTACTCCCCCATTCCCTATATATATTTTAATCCCCCAGTCTCTCCCATGTGTCAATTTCACCTCCCAATCCCTCCATGTGTCTTAATTCACCCCAGTCCCTTCCATGTGTCTCAATCCCACACTCTGTCCCTTCGATGTGTCTCAATCCCCCCAGTCCTTTTCATGTGTCAGTTCCCTTCCCCAGTCCCCCCATGTGTCTCAATTCCCCCTGTCCCTTTTATGTGTCTTAATTCCCCCACATCCCTTCCATGTGTCTGAATCCCCCAGTTCATTCCATGTGTCTAATTTACCCCAGTCACTTCCATGTGTCAATTTCCCCCGGTCCCTCCATATGTCATTGTCCCCAGTCCCTTTCATTTGTCTCAATTCCCCCTTACTTTCCATGTGTCTCAATCCCCCCATCCCTTCCATGTATCTCAATCTCCCAAGTCCCTTCCATGTGTCAATTCCACCACCCAGTCCCTTCACGTGTCTTAATCCCACCCAGTCCATTCCATGTGTAAATTCCTCCCCCAGTACCTTTCATGTGTCTCAATTCCCCCCTCCCCCCCCCCATCCCCTTCCATGTGTCGGGCTCCTCCTTCTCAGACATCTGCAAAGTGTCAAACTGGTAGACAGCCACTAGAGGCAGTCTTAACCCTTCATTGTAAAATTGTGCTAAGGGAACAGGGTCACTGCACCCAGGCCACTTCTGGTCTCTGTGTCTATAGTGTCCCTTTAAGGTGGAAAGAGTCATTGACACACACTGCTTTACAAAACACTGTATCTCCTTTCTGCTATTTTTGCTAAATATATGTTAGATGGAATCTAAACACTAAGTCACTGGTGGGGTATCCGGCACAATGATTTTACAATGCTTTTACAATTTCCATGTTTTCTGGGTTTTTCGCTACACAGGGTATATGGCCCCTGGCATTTAAAGATAATAGCATAAATGAAAGCAGTGCTTAAAGAAGCTTTTGTAGTGCAGTTTCCAACAAATGTCTGGTATGAACAAAACAAAAAGAAAAAAAAGAAAGTAAAAGAAACAAAAAACAAGAATTAAAATGACAGGTTGACAACTTAATATGGTATAATAGAAATTCAAACGTAATGTCCTTTAGAGATGGAGAGATCATGAGAGGCTAACCGGTAAATTTATCTTGA